ACTGAAACCATCTTACTCCTCTCAGAATGGCTAAAATCAAAAACTCCAATGATAGTTTAAGTTGGAAAGGATGTGGAGAAAGGGGAACACTTCTCCACTGCTGGTGGGAGTGCAAATTCGTACAGCCACTTTGGAAATCAGTATGGCGATTCCCCAGGAAAATGGGAATCAGTCTACCACAAGATCCAGCAATTCAACTCATACGCATATAGCCAAAAGAAGCACATTCGTACAACAAGGACATCTGTTCAACCATGTTCATAGCAGCATTATTTGTAATAGCCAGAACCTGGAAGCAACCTAGATGCCCCCAACTGAAGAATGGAGAAAATGTGGTACATTGACACGATGGAGTACTACTCAGCAGAAAAAAGAAATAGAATCTTGAAATTTGCAGGAAAATGGATGGAACTAGAAGAAACCATTCTGAGTGAGGTAACCCAGTCACAAAAAGACAAGCATGGTATGTACTCACTCACATGTGGATTTTAGACATAGATTAAAGGAATACAGCCTACAATCCACACTGCCAGAGAAGCTAGTAAACAAGGAGGACCCTAAGAGAGACAGACATACATTGTCCCCTGGAGAAGGGGAAAGGGACAAGATCTGAGAAAATTGGGAGCAAGGGAGGAGGGAGAAGGGAGCTAGGAGAATGAGAAGGTGAGAAGAGGAGGTGTGAGGAAGACATGATGGAGCAGAAAGGTTGAGTTGGGAGAAGAATAGAAGAAAACAAGAAAGGAGATACCTTAATAGAGCCCTTATAGGTTTAAAGAGAAATCAGGCACTAGGGAAATGTCTTGAGATCTACAAAGATGTCACCAATTAACAATCTAAGCAACAGAGGAGAGGCTACCTTAAATACCCTCCCTTGATAATGAGATTGATGATGATTTATATGCCATCCTATAGCCTTCATCCAGCAGCTGGTGGAAGTAGAAGCAGACACCCACATGTGTGTGAGAGAGATATAGAGAGAGAGGGAGAGAGATAGATAGAGAGAGAGGGATAGTGGCAGAAGCAGAGAAGAGGAGAAGAGTATAGAGTATTTTGAGACAAGTGTAGAGAGAGTGTAAATTGGGAGGGATCTGTCTTTTAAAGGGGTCCTCTGCACCTGTGTGCAGACTTAGTTCCCATGGAACCCTGGGCTGACCAGGGTACTGCCTTTTCCACCAAGTAACAGGGGTAGGCCAGCATAATGCCCGAATCTTTCACCAACTAACAATCTAAGCAACAGAGGAGAGGCTACCTTAAATGCCATCCCCTGATAATGAGATTGATGACGTGCTTATATGCCATCCTATAGCCCTCATCCAGCAGCTGGTGGAAGTAGAAGCAGACACCCACAACTAATCACTGAACTGAACTGGAATCCAGTTGCATAGAATAATGAGTGATGGGCAAAGGGGTCCAGACCAGGCTGGTGAAACCCACAGAAACAGCTGACCAGAACATCAAGGAACTGTTCCTCCCCAGTCTGATAGCTTGATTGAAGATCTCACTTGAAATCCTCAACTTGATTGAAGTCAGTACCCGAAGCTCTGTTCCTTCCCAGTCTGGATCAGCATGGGACTGATCCAGACCCCAGGACATGGTTTTCAGCGAGGAGACCTTGGAAATCTACAGGACCTCCTGTTGTAGTTCAGTACTTTTCCCTAGCATAGGTGTGGACTTTGGGAGCCTATTCCACATACAGGGATACTCCCTGACCCAAGATACATGGGGGTGGGCCTAGGCCGTATCCCAAAGGATAGGGTAGTCTCTGATGACCTCCTGTGGAAGGCCTCACCCTCCCTGGGGAGCAGAAAGGATATGTAATAGGTAGGGTTTTAGCTGTCTTTGTCTTTTCTTAGATCTTTCTTTCAAGGTGTGCACCGTCTCATAATTGTTATGCTCCCATGGTTGCCTTCCCCAGTGTGTGTACATACACAAGCAAACATTTCTCTGCTGTTTATGTTTGAGTCCCACACAGCCAATGAAGACCTGCCCAACAGCAATCCCTGGACACCTTGGAAAGAAAATGGGCCACACCTCCTCGAATGCACTGGGTCCAACTTGCTCCATTTCAACTGACACTCCCGCCAGCGCTTCGGGTACTGACTTCAATCAAGTTGAGGATTTCAAGCGAGATCTTCAATCAAGCAAATCCCATCTAACATGGACTGGATACAATCCATTCAAGACTTTTACTGTACTAACATTTTCTTCCTACAGGACCCCACAAGGATGTCATCATCCCATTTCAGCAGGAAGTAACTTGGAGGATGCTACTCCCCCTTTCCCACTTGTTGTCACTTAGGATAGTGTAAATACCTAGTTAGGGATAGCTTCTTATTGTTTATGTTTGGCATTGGAAGGAGGTGTTCAGGCTTGGACACCTCTTTCAGATGACTTTAGGATTTAGTTAAAATAGATAGTTAGGATGTTATATAAGCAGATTGTTGTATCTTCTTATATTTCACCTTTATGATTGTTAATTTTGGATACTTTACACTGTTAAGTCTTAATCCTCTTTTAGACTAAAAGGGGAATTGTAGGGGAACCTGTAGCCACGCCTGCTTAGAGGCTGGCTAAAGGTGTGCCTGACCATGCCTGCGATGGCATGGTCAGGATGACGTAGAGTAAGAGGTTCAGGTGGCTGGGTTTCACTTTCGGTTTCACCTTTTTCGGCTTGCTGTACAGACTGCTGCCTCACCAGCTGGCTATGTTTCTCTGTAAGTAAGGCTTTTTCCTATTAAATACCCTTATATTTCTATCTGGCTTAGTATTGGTAATTTCCCACTTTATGGAGCAGCTTCCATATGCTCGCGCCATCCTGGGGGTTTAGACTCGGCACTTCTGAGATGATAAAGTCAGATGCAGATAAAGAAAAACCTCTAAAGGTGTATGCTGCATTTAAAAATATATGTAGGCTTTCGGAAAAAAAAAAGTAACAGGAGGAAATAGAGAAGGCGGGGCATTGGTGGCACACGCCTTTGGTCCCAGCACTTGGGAGGCAGAGGCAGACAGATTTCTACAGAGAAACCCTGTCTCAGAAAAAACAAAAGAAAGTAAAAGTAGAATAATAAAAAAGCCACCTAAAGATAAAAAATACACAGAAAATCTGGATACTATATACCATATTGTTGTCTTTAAATTGTCTGATTGCTGAGGAAAGACTTACTGCTGCTAAAATACATTTGATTATAAATGCTACTAAATTAATCCAACTTATACATTTTAAAAATGCTTTGACTTCAAAATTTAGGTATAAGGACAGGGTACTTAGAAACAGAATTTCTGCTTGTGTTTCCACAGAAAATAAAAAGCTGTTGATTCCTTCCAGACTAATATGGTTTGATCAAGCAAGACCCCTAAAGCTGAGACGATACAGCCTTACAGACTACAAAAACAAGGACTTGGTCAGGTTTCTATGTTTTATCATCATATGAACATCGTCCCCAATCAACAGGAAGCAGTTTAGAAAGAACGATGCCCATATTCCCAAATATTGTTTATAAATGTTTATTTTCATTTAAATGGGGTTGGTTATAAATGATAATGAACATAGTCAATCTCTTTTTTTTAAAAAAAGAAAAATAGGTTATAGGAATAAAAACTTTGCATTGATATGGATTTTCATTTATTGATACAACTTTAAGTTCAATTTTGTGATATGTATATGTCTCCTCTTGTTTAGGTATTTTGTTTATACAGATCTTTTAAAATGATATACATAATTAAATACAGGTTATATAGTTACCTATAATAGTCAAAACTTATAATTAGGTTAGTTAGGTCTTCTAGATACACAGAGATGTATTTGAGATGGATAGGTATTCTGCAAACCTTTCAAAGACCTACAGAAATATGGCATTTAAATGGTTTAGGGTGTTTCTTGGCAGTGAGACACACTGCTCCTGGCACACCAATTACATATGAAAGGAGGATGGGCTTCGAAGAAACTTGTTATGGAGTTTGCTTTCAACGTGGCAAGATTAGCAATTTGAGCAAGAAACTGCTCTTGCCTGGACTGTTTGTTGCTGTATAAACTGGACATGCAGGACCCACAAGAAAATGACTGCTAAACTTACAAAACAATACTGAAGGGTTCCTGCTGAAATGAAGAAGTGTGCCAGACACACTGTGGCCTATAGGCAAAAGATAGATGCCCCAACATTACAGAGGAACTTTGGGTGACCAGGTATCTAGATGTCCTGTCAATTCTAGATTATATATATTATCCTTTTGTGGTCTTTGATAGAGTTAAAGTCAGATAGTTATGGTTATAGTTTTCTTCAGTTATTATAAAAGGTAAGTTATCCTTCTTTTTATTTAAACAAAAAAGAGGAGATGATGGGGAAGTGCTTCTGTGTATGTGTTTGTCTTACTGGATGATAAATAAAATACTGTTTGGACAATGAGACAGCAAGTTAGACAAAGAGGATTCTGGGAAATGTATTAGAGAAGTGGTGATCCAGACAGGAAGTGACATAGCAAAGAGACTCATTTAAGCAAGGAGAAACAGGAAGGGTCCCTTTTATTTCCCCTTCGCCTCCTCCAGCAGTGATGTGATCCACTGGCAAGGGAGGGTGCCAATGGAAGGCGTCTGATAAGATAAGTCTAATAAAATATATAGATTTATGATAATTAAGACTGAGCTAACAGATGAGAATCCTAGTCATTGGCCAAGCAGCATTGTACCTAATACAAGTCTCTCTGTGCATTAATTGGGGCCCTAACTCAGGCAGGCAGCTGGGGTAGTGCGCACACGTGGCAGTGGGGCTTGGCACCTTTCAGGGAAAAGATTTATTGTAACAATTGTGTGCTTCCTGTGTGAGGCTCACATCCCTTAGGGATGTGTGTTTGTCTACACAGTGTTGGGTACCAAATGCCCTCAAAGCAATGCGACAAAGCAGACCCATCTGTGAGAGTGGAGAAGTGTGTGAAGACTTTCACAAGGGTAACAGATCCAAGATTGATTTAACCACAAAATAACAAATCAAGTCCATATTATCATGGATGTTTTACATATGATTTTAATGGAAATGAGTTTTCCTTATACATTTGAACAGTTTTGAAGCTTCTCCTCCTACTATAGCTCACTGAGACCTTGCCACAGTGATGTTCTGGCTCAGGATGAGGAAAAGGATAAACTCTCTGGCACTCCACAGACAAGGTTTGTTACTCAGGAATAGGTTATGACTCAGTGCCCAAAGCAAGAACAGAAGTGATCACTGATTGGAGCTTGTGCCTCATTCCCAATCATTCCCAGTAATCCGGGGCCTTAGATACATATGGTCCCACCTTCTTTTCAAAGAGATCTTTCTTATTAAGAAGAGCTATTGCATCATTTGCTGCAGTATCAAGAAAGAGATTCTGCAGATAGTAAGTCTTTCTGTAGTAAATGCAAGTAGCAACTGGCCCACCAGTAACTGAGGAAATGTACTTGATATATTTCAATAGTTTTTCTTCCACGGACATACTGTTGTCTTCCTCAAACAAATGGGGAAACCGAAGGTGCACCTTGAGTTCATCCATGGACATGTTAAAATCTTTAGCAATGTTTTCCAATGAGGTATCATCCAGCCCAAAGTAAGACCTGTAGAGATGGAATGTTTCATTCAGATCCTCTAAATCATCTCTGATCCTGCCAACCAATGGAAAAGTGGCCAATGCTCCAGCCTTCAGGGCCTCTAAGAAGACTTTCTGCTTCAGGGACTCTCTCTTGAGGTTAATGGTGGCCTCAGTAACACTGTTTAAAGACAGCATGAAGACATGGCGCTTGTGGGCTGGGAGCTCACCCAATAGGGTGGTCTGCAGCTTTGGGAAGTCATAGTCAGACACATCAAAGTTAGAGACCAAGAAGATTTGAGGCTTACCGGAGAAGTATTTCTTGAGATGCTTTGAACAGTCATCTCGAATTGTCTTAAGGACATTCTCCTTGCTGAAAGTCTTTGGTTTACTCCTCTGTTCATTAGCTAAGTCATTATCTATCTTGGTATGAACAAAGTAGAAATTCATATTCATCATTGAGATGGCTTTCGCTAGGTTTGCATCATTTTCTCTGAATCGTGTAGCTGAGATGATAACAAAGAAGTCATATTGAGAAAACTTCATTGTCTTTAGGTAGCTTTCTGGTGGGAAGGAAGTGGACCCAGTGCCAGGCAGGTCCCATATTGTCACCTGAGGAAGCTTTGGGTGTGGGTATGGCATTCTCTCCTTGGTTGTCTCTGTCACTCCAGTAGGGGCTGCACCTTCGTCTTCCTGCCCTATCCCCATCAGAGCATTGATGAAGGTGGACTTCCCTGTCCCTGTCTCTCCTGTCACAGCAATGTTCAGGGGGGCGCTCTCGATGTCTCTCAGTGCACTGTGGATTACAGAAAGTGCACCCTGGAGGTCATTTTTCTGAATGTGGCATTTAATCAAGGTGATGGTTTCCTCAGAGAGGATTTGGCTTTCCCTCTTAAAATTCTTAAAGAATGCATCAATGCTGGAGGCCCAAGCCATGTCTCTGTATGGTAGAAGCTGAACGGAGCAGAGAGGGGAGAAATTGTAATCATTAGTTAAAGCAGGGCACAGCTTTGGAGTTTGCTGGTCTGTAAAGCAGCCTCCCCCAACCCTGTCCCACATCAGACCCAGCATTGCCTTTCTTGTCTTCTCTTGGTTGCTGCTTCCACTGCTGATCTGGATATAAAGAGGCCTCTTGCCCCCTCCTAGCTCACATAAGTTCTCTTGGGAGTTCTCCTTCAGTCCTTTTGGCCCTCTCAGCAGCACCTTGGCGGTCAGCAAGAATAAGTGCCTGAGGAAAGGCGGCAAGAAGGGAGCCAAGAAGAAAGTGTCTGATCCATTTTCGAAGAAAGATTGGTATGATGTGAAAGCCCCTGCAATGTTCAATATGAGAAATATTGGGAAAACACTAGTCCCGAGGACTCAACGAACCAAAATCTAATAGCCTCAAGGGTCATGTGTTTGAAGTGAGCCTTGCTGATCTACAGAATGACGAAGTTGAATTTAGAATATTCAAGCTAATTACTGAGGATGTTCAGGGCAATACTGTCTGACTAACTTCCATGGCATGGATCTTACCCGGGATAAAATGTGTTCCATGGTCAAAAAGTGGCAGACCAGAAGTGCATGTCAAGACAACTGATGGTTATTTGTTTCATCTATTCTTTGTTGGTTTCAATAAAAAAATGCAACAACTAGATACACAAGACCACCTGTGCACAGCACCAGCTGGTCCACCAAATAGGCAAATCATGCCCCATGAAGTGGTGACAAATGACCTGAAGGAAGTGTTTAATAAATTGATTCCAGACAGCATTGGGAAAGACATAGAAAAGCCTTGCCTGTCCATTTATCCTCTTCATAATGTTTTCATTAGAAAAGTAAAAATGGTGAAGAAACCAAAGTTTGAATCGGGAAAACTCATGGAGTTCCATGGTGAAGGAAGTAGTTCTGGAAAAACTACTGGTGATGAGACAGGTGTTAAAGTTGAAGGAGCTGATGGATATGACCCACCAGTTCAAGAATCTGTTTAAAATCCAGATTTAATAGTGACAAATAGAAAGTCTTATTTGTGATGAAAAAAAAAAGAGGCCTTTTGCTCACAGTTCACTTCCTCCTAGGAATTTACTTGCACCTCTTGGTCTAATTCAGACTCCACTTAGTCCTTGAAGTTACCCACTGCAGCCTTCATTATCCCTTTGAAGCCTCCTTTAAATTCCTTTATTTTCATTAAAATGACATCCATAGATGGTGTCAACCCTAAAAGGACACAAAAGAAGCAAGACTTCCAGTACAGTCTTTAACCTTATGTGAACCTATTACCGAGTTGCCTGTAGGTCCTCAAAGCCTCCAGTTTCTTTGCATGCTTACTCTATAATGAGGAAATGATACCGGACAAGGGATGGAAAAGGCTGAATTAAAAAGTGATGTCATCTGTTTAATGATGTTCATATCAGCACTATTTGTAATAGCCAGAAACTGGAAGCAGCCTAGATGCCCTCAACCAAAGAATGGATAGAGAAAATGTGGTACATTTACATGATGGCATACTACTCAGCAGAAAAAATAATAATGGAATCTTGAAATTTGCAGGAAAATGGATGGAACTCGAAGAAA